TGCTGGATCTGATTTGAAACGTGTTGGATTTCCCTGTGAAATCAATTGGATGAATTCTAATCTACCCTTAAGAAGAAAAGAAAAACGGCCACGTTAGGGGCTCTTGAAGAGTCTAAGTGAATGAGTGAATGTTAATGTTGTGTAAAAAAGAGCCCGTTAGATTTCACAGGGAATTCACGATAGAGGATTAGTATTGATGAGAGCGATTCTAGGTGAATTGTGGGTACTAGGAATGATGCTGTGAACTACAGGAAACCGTTTGATTTGACGACAAGTCTTGTGAATGGCAAAGCAACTCCAAAATCGCCGTGCTATACGTCCCACGGCTCGCCGCGCGCGACGCAGGCCTCATCCATCCGCACCACGATAGAATCGCTCGCTTCCCAGTTTGGAAAGTGCTGCGCTTGGTTTGGAAACCGTTTGTTCGAAATGAAAATTCTGTCTACTCAAGACTGTTTCTGTGGCTTAGTAACTGGTTGCACGTACAACGAAGTGCTTCTGGGAATAATTTGAACGGAATGGCGGAGAACGAAGAAGATTAAACTCAATCTTACTTTTAGAGTAAGATTTCTATACGTGTCGCCGAAGTTAGCCTGTAATAAATCTCCATGAAGAAATGCCTCATCCATCAAATCGTCATTGAGTGATTTATTCGGAGCTAATCCGGTAGCGAATATAATAGTGAAGTTATGCTGAAAAAGACGAATTATAGGTATTTACGAAACTTTCCTTATTTTCTGGAAGGGGAATACGGTAACGTCGCAAACCTCGTGCTGAAGTTGGCCGTATGTTCTACGCCACTGCTCGCGTATTAATTTGTCAGCTGCTCGTACATGAACAATCACGAAATAATGTAATCGGCGACAATTACGCGATCTTGGTACTATACTGTATTTGAGTACATCGAGTCGCTGCAAAAATACAGTCTCAATATAGGTCATTGAATGTGGACCTTACTGTTAGCAATGGTATTAGGGTGCCACAAAAAATCGTGCCAATTTTCTGAATCTCGTCTTTCTGTTGCGATTTCGAAATCCACTCATGTAGCAAAGCGCATCAATGAACAGCCCCCAGTCGAAGGCAAAGGTGTTTCATATATTTTCTGATTGATATTGCTTTTGATGGAACAAATTTAACAATTCGAATTTTCAAGAGCTTGTGAATTTGTCAACGTAAATGAGCATCTTGACATAAATTTTTCGGGCTGCTGCACTGTTACTGGACTTCCAGCTCCGTGACAGTACAATACTCAGGGTCTGAGTAACATTTTTCTCTGCAGTTGCCCGTTATTCATTTTCAGTTAGAGGCCTAGCATTGGCCAATGACACCGCCACATGGCCAAGGGGTCAATATTTTGACAAACTCTAGAGGCCAAGCGTAAGCTCAATGATCTCTGCACGATTCGCCGTCTTATCAGTGGAAAAAAACCGTAGTTAGGTCCTTGCTATTTTATGACATTCAGTCCTCTGTTACCAGAGGTAGGCAAAGAAAACTGCTCTTTTCCAAGCCGAAAACACTAATTAGAGCGGAGTTCTTTACCGTTCGAAGTGGATATTGATATCTCATAGTAAGCAAAACTAATTTGAGGAAGTGCTCAATGAGCTCAATGGCTCAAATGCATCGCAGCCAAAGTTACTTGAAAAGGTGTCACCCAACATTACTGGAAGTCCCATAACTAGTGATATAAATAACTGCAAATGCGTATTCCTTCCGTTTTGGTCTTGTGTTCTCTTTGTTTCACATATGTTTCATACAGCGTATTCAATGAATAAGTAAGTAAATCTCACTCAGACCACACAGTCCGAGCCTTTGGTGAATGTTGGTGAGCACAAAATCCATCTGTGTGGATGAAACGCTAATTGTCACTCCATCTTTCCAGTGAGTACTTTTCCACTGACTGTGAAACATGTGCTATTGGACTACTGAACATGTGGCGAAACGAGAGCTGCGCTATTTTTTTTGACACACTCCGCGTGAGGACATGGTAAGTCATAGGTTTTCTGCTCTGGCTGTGTGACAAACATGGTGTGTTATGCCGGACTTGCATAACAAAAGGTCGGTGTCACAAATGAATGGCACGAAACTGCCTTTGTAGCTTAAGTATGACAGGCAAGAAAATCAGTGCTTAGTCACTTGTTCTTATATCCACTGGGATATCAACGGAATCAGAATCGACCGCTGAAAACATCTATAATTTCAGATGACCACTTCATCTAATATTAATAAAATTAATTAGGTCAACGGCTCCTTCGCGGTCGACAGAGTCTTAAAGAGTGGAAATCGTCTTCTCTAACGCCTTAACAAATACTGGATACCACTTCAAAATGTTAATAGATCACTTGACGGTATTCGATCGGTAAAGACGACTTGGCTTACCTCAACCTCCGCCTCGGTGACGCGGGATCCACCATCTAGGGTGTACTAGCGCTTTATGTGATGATTGCCCCACCAACCCTCAACATCAGCCTTGACTTCATGTAGATCAAAATTCACAAAGGTCGAAAAAGAGTGTGAGCTCACGGGTGATGGTCATATACTCCTATCCCTTGTTTGCTGTTTGCATGGCGATGTTAAGCTGGCAGAAATGCCCACCAATAACGTGAAACGTATCCATGTTCGAAGTCACCTTTGCAGCTAGTCCTCGGAGCGCACGGGTCGCCCTTACCGTGGACCAGTTGACTGTCGGGAGTGATCTAGTCAACATGTTGTGAAGAAATGAGAAATATATAGAAGAAATGGATTGAAACGGGTCAAAGAGTACTCGTGTGGTAAAAAATCTGAATTCTATTGAGGGGTTATCGGGTTGAGCGTCACGAGGAAATTTGCCAAATTCATCAAATTTTAGGTAACCCTGTCCATCCCTGCACAGGAACCTAAGATCGCTGAGCAGAAAACATTGAAGCATTCTGAATTTCGGATAGAGACCCCCAAATGAATACAGGTTATATCACCGCAACCTGTCGCGTCGCAATCAGCGGTTTCCACATGTGGCCTTCCCATTAGTGGCTGATTGCTTCCTACATCGATCATTGCTCGATCACCATTGGTAGAAAGGTGAAGGTTTAGGTGAGAGGTAGTTGTCATTTAAAGCACTAGTACCCTGGGTGGTGGGTCTCGCGTCAATGCGGTGGAGATAAAGGTAAGCGAGTCGTCTCTACATCAATAGCGTTAGGTGTTCTATTTCCATCTCAAAATGGTCTTCAGTTTTTGTTAGGCAGTTCGAGAGGAGAAATTCCATCCGTTTTCACTCTTTCAGTCTCTGACAACGTCGAAGTAGTGGAGACGTCGGCCTCATAAG